TTGCTATTTTTTTCTTCTTTCTTCTCTGTTTCATCCATTATTTAGCCATCTTGTGAACCTTCTTAGCATGACCAGGATCCCTCTGCTGGAATATATCATCATCTTCAGGGCCTTCTAAATCTTCTAACTCCCATTCAGACAATTCAGATGACATGTCATCACTACTTTAGCCAGGTACATACATTTCATCCTCTGAATCATCTAAATCCTCACTGTGGTGTCCTTCATCCTCATCATGTGATCCAGATTGTCCCTGTGGTGTAGTCTCCTGAGGCATCTCCTGTTGTTGGCCACTATTTGCTGGCACATTTGCATTTCACATAAGGACATAAGAACCCTAATTTGTTGTGGAAGCCAACCCTAATTTCTGACATACATAGACTACAAATTAGGGTTCAACAAACAACCCTAATCTCCTAATCTCATATAGGCATTCAACAAACAAGCTTTCAACCATAAATAAACAACATAGTAAACGACAATAAATAAGAAAGTACATGTCAAAATACCTTAGACGAAATCGCTCTGCGGGAACCCTAATTTGCCGTGGACTAAAAATGATGCATTAATTCTTCTTCGACCATATTGAAAGCTATTCAGAAGTCGCCATCGACCTCAGATTCAAAGAAGTTCCTCGTCGACCTGAGATTGAAATGATTTAGCAGAGTTGTTCGAATGTTCAATTGGTGGATTTTCGTGATTTTCGTGATTTTCGTTCAGTGTTGTGAGAGAGCGGTGTGAGACCACCAAGTTGAGCGACGTTCTAATACGAGGGCATAACGGGGAGTTTACAAAATTATTAACGGTTTTTGGTGTATGGGGAGCGTGATCCGTCGACATTAAAACCTAAGGGGGTATGGTGCAGTTTTGAAAACATAGGGGTAAAACGCGCACATTTATGAAAACACAGGGGGGTTTGGTGCAATTATCCCTATTAGGATATATACACTTATCATATCTTTTGACTTTTTTTTTTAAATGCGATCTCCTCTTATTCCGCAATTTAAGGAGAGTTACCATATCTTTAAGGAGAGTTGATCTTTATAATTTTGGTAACAGATATAGTGCATTATCACATATAAATGTCATACAATTGGTAATAAATCAATAAAAAATTGTCCATTCATAGTATTGCAAATCGTTGTCGTATGCACGTGGGCCAAATAAATTTATCCAATTAGAATTATAATGAGCCATTTGTAGAGAAGTCCTAAAGGCCCAAGTTAAGAAATCCATTTGAGTATTGAGCCCTATTAAATTTCGTAAGTCCTTAATTATCATTGTCCTCGAGGCCCAAGTTAATAAATTTGTAACTTATTCACTCCAAGACATGCGCCCGTGAACTAGTGCCAATGAGGCATTTGTAGGCAATTAAATTTTGAGTCAATTAAATGGCGACAAGTGTCAAATTCCATGTCAAAATCAATTTAACTAGTATTTGATCCTGTGCATTTGCACAGATATAAACTATGTTTTTGTTTGTATTTATTAGTTAGACATGTACTTCTATCATATAAAAATTATTACTTTTTCTTACGTTATTTTTATCATTCAAAATTAAATGAGATTTAAATTTTATTTTGACCATGCAATGTTTACATTAGTAACATGAATAAAATAATATATATATTTGTGACATATATTAAGAAAATCAACATAAATAAAAAAATTTATTGGTGTTTCTGATTTTTAGAAAAAAAAAATGTGCTAATCGTATTTTTCATCAAACAATGCAACCAAATATAGCGGTTACAACTCTGAATGTGACAATCAACTTTCTCAATTCTAACATTAGCCGTTACACATTTGAATAATTTGCTACCAAATTTAGAATTAATTTAGTAACATGATCCATAAAATAAATAATAAAAATATATATTAAGGTGTAACAGTTTTAACAGATTAATTAGTGAGTAATTAATTAAAAAATGTAACTCCTTTTCGAGGGAAATGAAAATAGGTTTTATTAAATGCATCATCTGTGCATTTGCACAGATATAAACTATGTTTTTGTTTGTATTTATTAATTAGACATGTACTTCTATCATATAAAAATTATTACTTTTTCTTACGTTATTTTTATCATTCAAAATTAAATGAGATTTAAATTTTATTTTGACCATGCAACGTTTACATTAGTAACATGAATAAAATAATATATATATTTGTGACATATATTAAGAAAATCAACATAAATGAAAAAATTTATTGGTGTTTCTGATTTTTAGAGAAAAAAAAATGTGCTAATCATATTTTTCTTCCAACAATGCAACCAAATATAGCGGTTACAACTCTGAATGTGACAATCAACTTTCTCAATTCTAACATTAGCCGTTACACATTTGAATAATTTGCTACCAAATTTAGAATTAATTTAGTAACATGATCCATAAAATAAATAATAAAAATATATATTAAGGTGTAACAGTTTTAACAGATTAATTAGTGAGTAATTAATTAAAAAATGTAACTCCTTTTCGAGGGAAATGAAAATAGGTTATATTAAATGCATCATCTAGTAATTATATATATATAGATAATTTTCTATTTTATTTAATAAATTAATCAAATTTTAATTCCTAAATTAAATAGTACATTAATTGCAGAATTAATATTAATAGTTGGCCAATTAAAGAATGTCACATGTATATTTTAAAGGCAAATTAAAAAATGTCACATGTCATTTTCTTGGAAAGTAAATAAATAATTATTTTTTTATAATTATAAAAGAGATAAATGTTGGAAATTCATGAACCAATCAAATTAAAGTCATTTTTTCAAGACTGTCTCTTCGAATTATTTCTTGTAAATAATTATTAAGTGATAAATATTGAAAATTTTGGGCCAATCAAATCTAAATCTTAGGGTTCTCCCTGAGGTCAAAATTACAATTCAAGTTGAAGTTTAAAAGCTCTAGAGAATTCACTCAACGAGATTCATGTGTTCGTAAAGATCCAAAGGAAGATTGAAGCGTGTTCAAAATCAAGACCAACGTTCAATCCAGAATTATGTTATTAAAGTCAAGACCGACGTAGAGAAAATCGAAGATCAACATTGAGGTGAAGACCAATGACTCGTGTTCTTCACGTTCTTGAAAATTACGACGTTTGATTCGAGACTAAGTTGTCAAGCCCTCGAAAAAACATTATTTAAATTCAAATTCAAGACCATCCGATATAAAACCAGTGTTCTAAAAGTCGTTAGGCGCCCGCTAGGCGCTCGACCAGCGCCTAGCGCCTAGAGCGCCTAGTCGGGGCCTAGGCGGCGCCTAGAAATCAATATTAAATATTTTATTTTTTATTTATTTTAACTACTTACAAAATAAAATTATCTCAACTTATAATAAATTGACACACCAAAGTCCAAATAATAAAATTAATAAATTTTCAAGAAAAAATGAGAACAAAATAATGTAATTAGTATTTAAAAAAAATTTAAAAAAAAAAAAACTGAAAAATTACCGTTGAGCCCACCTAAGAGCGCCTAGGCTCACCTAGGCGCTGCCTGACCGGTTTCTTCTGCCGATTTGTGCAAATCGGAAACACCCCGACACCGCCTAGCGCCTAGGCGCCGCCTTAGAACAGTGTATAAAACTGAAGATTTGTCTTCAAAAGTCTCAAATCCATTTCAAGATTGTTCTTGAAGACACTAATTATCAGATGAATAATATAGATTTGCAATCAATTATATTTCGTTTATTAATCCGTTCAAAATCAATTTGTACAAATCTCTCGTGTTTATTAATTCAATAATACAAAATTTGCGTTACAATTATATATTAGCGAAACTATAACATACTTTTTTGCATTATTTTGTATGATTGCATTTTTTTTTATACGGTCCTCTTTTTTATACATATTTTTCTTATTAAATTTCTTTTAACCATTGCAGTTATTTTCTAATAAAACTACTTGTCGCATTAGACTTAGATAATCATGCATTATATGAATATAAATATTAACGAGAGATATATAAGACTACGTACATGCATCATTTAACTATGCATGCAATTCACTGATAAATTAAATGGAGCCACCAATAATATTATTTCAACACATAAATCCACGCGATCGGCCGGCTTCTCTAAATCAATCTCTCTGGGCCTGGGCCTTGGATATCGCCGGAATACAACTGGAGCTCCTCAAGATACCGCACTTTGTTCCACTTTTATCATTATTACTAGTGCCCCCTCTGTCCCGGGGACTAAGGGACTTGGCCCGGCTGTTGCGAAGGATCTCCCGCATGGCCTCCGCCTGGCACAGCACTGGGAAAGCTCGCCCGACCCTGTTGAACCCCGCGCAGGCTCTGACGTGGGCCCGCACGGCCTCCTCCCGACTCCCCCCGTTTTTCCCCATTTCTTCCTTGACGGCCTCCGAGCACAGCCCGCACACCATCCGCCCGCAGTTCTTCTCACGAACCCTTCTCACGTACTCGGGCGTGCACTCTTCCGACATTCCGCAGCACTCGCACTCAGCATCTTCGACCTCCGATATGGCCGGCAACACCTCCATATCTCGATTATTATCTTTATCGTCATTATTAATTTTGTCGTCTTTGATAAGTGTTTCGTGTGCCTTGAACTCCATGGAGATGTCGGAGATCGTGCGATCAATGGAGAGCTTTGGGGGTTTGTTGTGTGTGGTTGTGGGTGTGGGTGTTGGTGTTGGTAAGGGGTTGAAGAGCATGGAGTCCCAGTTTGGAGCCATATGTGATTCAGGCTAATGAAATTTACTAACGAGTTTTTGAGTTGGAAATGAATTACGATTTGAAACTTGAATATGTTTTTGTTGTCTATGTTGGTTGGGATTTGAGAAATCAGGTGTGTATATATATGGGGATTTGACTTGATTGTGAATATGATTGTATTAGTATACGAGGTCTTATAATAAGGGTTGGTTTATATTTATAGTGTGTGGTGATGTTATGAGGGGGATAGGATGGGATTGTGACTGCCTATACAATCTGTGGACTAAATTTTAATGCCGTGTTTGTGTGGACCACTTTTCAGTTGTGGAGTAATTATAAGTGAATCTCAACCACCAGATCAAGAATCAGCTGGATAATTCGTGTAGATGAATGGTAGCTTATATAGTAGGATTTTTTACTTTTTTACTTTATTACTATTTTTGTTTTAAGTCTTTAAGCTATCAAAGGAAG